TGCGCATCTTCAGTCAGTGGAAATATTTCATTATTGATGAACAGCTGTGGTTTCAAGTTGTTGTTTTTTCCTCTCCAACACTAGTTTTGTCCTTGTAGTTGTGAAAAGTGAACTTTGAGCCAGATGGTGTCTTTCCTCTTCTTTTCAACTTTGAATTAACACCACCACCATATGTGCCAAGTCCACACACACACACACACACACACACACACACACACACACACACACACACACACACACACACGTTTGTTCTCTTATCCTCATGGGGATTTGCATTGACTTGCATTCATACCGATCATTTCTACAAACTAACCCTGAGCCCTTACCCTAAACCTAACCACCCCAGTACATATCTAACCCTAAACCTAACCTCTGACCCACCAATGGTATTTTCCTCGATGGGGACTTTTGTCCCCAAAAGAAACAGTGGGTTCTCRCCAGGCGCATACAGGGAAAATGGTGAAATTTGTCCCCACCAGGTAACAAAAACAGGTACACACACACATACAACACCATTCAGCTGTAGCTTCCCTCTGTGCAAAGAACACACACAGAAAGCAACACCTTCTTCTTCACATTCACGTGCATCTGTGCTAAAATACCGAACCCAATAACCCTTTTACATTATCATACCTGAATATTTATGAGACCTAAACAGCAAAGTTGCTAATTTTTTGATATCCTTGGGATAAATGTTTATCAACCCCTTATCAAGCTCGAGAAATGTTTGAAGCTTCCGGATGGAGGAAACATATTTTAAAAATATATTTAGAAACGGCTCAACTGTTTAAGTGAGACCTAGATGCCTCTCTGTCATTCTCATCACACATTAGAGTCTTCCTGTCAGTTACACTGCAGTTGTCATTCCAAGAATGGATTTAGCTTCTTTCTGGATGCTCATAATAGTGTGCCAATTAAAGGTAAAAAGAATATCAGTGGGATTTTTTTTGCTTACTTTAGTATCCTGGCAAAATCCCTCCTYTGCTGAGCTTTTTTGGACAGGTGTGTGGTATGGTGAGTCCATGTGGGATCCTCAATGATTTACATTTCCAGAAATTTTCTGATTGACCACRTGGGAGCCATCAATGCTGGATGATCAGCTTTTTTCTAAACTTCATTAAGTTTGTTTGTTTTGTTGAAATGAAGAAATGGATGGTTATATCCAGCTCAATTACGACAAATCCACCTCTGCTCTTTAAGGCTTAAACCATAGTTGTTCATTCTTTCCATGTCTGCTCTGCGTGTGATGTAAATTTTGCCGTCTTACTTATCTGTTTAGGTCCACCCAGCCCCTCAGCCTCTCTGTGGACCACGCTGCCTGTTGCAGTCTCTGACTTCTAATATGGGGTTTCCAAAGATACAGCAGAAAAAAAACAACATAGGTCAAACCACAAGTATAGAAAATATGAACCCTTGTTTAGTTGAAATGCTATTATCTTATCTTTATCTGTATTTATCTTTCCTAGTTTTTTGTATAATATATCACTCAAAGTCCAAGGACACAAAATCATATCCCATTTCTAGTAAGAAGTTGTTCAAACTTTGTTAAAGTTGTCTTTTGAATAGACAGTTGACAAATCAGCTCTGTATTTCCACTTATGGCTCTAGTGAAAACTGCAGTCCTCTGGGTGGAACACTAAACTGTGCACACAGTGTTGCCTACATAAAAACTATATTTCATCTATATTTCCACCTTAATATATTTCTTCATCATTACTAATGAGTCCCATCACTGCTGTGTCATCAGCAAGCCTGATCTAGTTTGTGTTGAACGTAGCAGAAATATCATGTATCAACAGACTGAAAAACAAAGAACTGAGCACACATCCCTGTGGGACTCCTGTTCTCAGTATGATGGAGCGTGATGTCATACCAACAACAAAAACTGTCTTTTCCTGACAGTGAGTTTAAAATCCAATTACAGAGTAAGGATTCAATCTGAATGAAGTGTTTCACATTAGTCCGTGAGCAGAATCCTGGCAACTGTAGCTGTTCTTTTTTACAAAATGAGACAAGACTGCATTCAGGGCATGTGTTACGAGATTTTCTGTGGGCCAGCTGCCATGAAAAAACTGAAGGATGTTGTAACATTTGTATGTATGTGACGTCATAGGTATGTGCCACTGCCCTCTATAGTTAGTTGTGGGAAAAGCAAGCTTGTGGATAAACACTGAACTGTGAGACGAACTTTATATTTTTCTCCCTAACTCACAAATAATGTTGCAGGTCGTTTGAACTCTGTTAGCTTCATGTATGATAAGATAGCGGCTGTTCAACCAGGCCTTATAAGGTTGTTGAAGAGTGTGTTTAATGAAAGGACAAGCATTGTGGAATTCCTATTGTCATGAGTTTTAGTCCTGCTGAAAATTAGTGCCACCTACAACAACCCAATGTTACAACATCCAGAGAAGGTGGGAGGCTGGTTTTAATCTGATATTTAATTAGTCGCTCAAAGCACGTCATGGTGAGGAGAAACTTTGGATAARTATGCAATAAAGTCCATGTTTCACCCTTTTTGATCAGACCATGTTAGCTTCTATTGTGGTTTTAGAAACAGAAACCTTTTTTTAATGTGTCAGTGTGTTTTCGGTGCCCTACTTTCTACAAGTCTTAAATGAGGATGGTGATGTCCTTCTTTACTGATTTTGGCCAAATCATAAGTATCATATAGAATTTGCGTAATCAAACTAACACTCTTCTGCAGCAGCATATACTGACTGAATTTTTTGCAGTGCTGCTCTTTTCCTATGTATCTGTAGTGTGTTTACAGATGGATTACGCCTGTGGTTTGTCTAAGATTTATATTGTCTAATAGCTCCTGAAGATTGACGTTTTAACTAAAATCTGTCAATCAAAGCAGTACAGCTGCTACAATATTTTTAGATGACTAAGTTTTCTTTGTTTCGTGCAAATAAACATCAGTCATAAAATATTTAAATATTTTCCTGAGTTCCTAAAACTTAGATACTCATTATTCTTTCCTGTCTGCAGCAAACTTTCTCATGTTTAGGAGCAAACTTTATCTGCCTGTGCACATTATTCTGTTGGGATCACAAAGAGAAATGTCCTTGGATTTCCTACGATTAAAATCTGAAACACGTAACTGCTGCCAATCTCTTCCTCTTTTATTCTTCCTCTCCTTCCTCACCTTCTGCCCTTCCACACACTTTGCCAGTCCTCTTCTTACTTTAAAATCCATCTTGTTTTCATCCATCTGCTGTCTTTTACCTCAACTTCTCCCTCAAACTGCTTGTACCATGTTCTGTGTTGTTCTTTATTTTTTTCCTAGCTTTAGTTTCTTCTTGATTGGGATAATAGTGAATACTGCTATAAACTCACATTTAAGTTTTTGTTTATTTTCTCAACACAGTGCTTCCAACATTCTGCATGTCCTTTAGTATCTTGTTTTATCCAGAAGGGAGTGAGCATTATGAGCAGTGAGAGTCCATCAGATGAGCCAAATGCATTTTTGGCATGCAGAGCATAAATGGTTGGCATTCAGGTTATAATAGCCTATGATTTATCATAGTCCAAGTAGTCCTTTGAAATATTTATATTGCACATAAACAACGTCCATCTAAGGTGTCTTTGCAAGACCTGTAGCAAACTGTGAATGGACAAGATACCCAGCTCTGCAGTCTGGGAGTTCTGCAGTAATGAACAGATGCGTACCTCATRAAAGGTCAGCTTTGCTGAGGACGCTTGGTCAGAATGGATTTTTTTTTTATTCAAAAGACTCTGTCCCACAGGGATTTAACAGAAGGCTACTGATGACAAAATGGATAGCAAGCGTTACAATGATGTTCTCAAATCCAGTCTGAAGAACTGTGGTATAACAACAGAGACTAGGGGCCAGTTCTGATTGCCTTGAATGTTGCTCTTTGTCAAGGCTATTTAACTGGTGGCATGTGTGTCAAATGACTTTTGTCTGGCCCACCAAATACCCCACCCCCATAAAAATAGTTTTGTTTACTTAATTTAATATAAAAATAGATTTTAAATCTGGATGTTCAGCCCCCTGAACAATTTAGTTGAACAGCCCTGCTCTACATTGTGCTCAGGTTTCAGTGCATTGGCCTCCTTTAGGGGTCTTACAAACACAATACCCATTAAAATTAATAGTTTGTTCAAAGAACCTACAAAAATCTCAGTTACAACTTGAACTTGTCAGCTACCAAAGAACTCATTTCTAATAATAACTCAGAGAGAGGTAAGACCCACCGATGGCTCAAAGCTTGTTTCGCACCTCAGTACCTTTTGGATTCGTTAAGGCCTCACACTTTCACCCATATGGTCATCAAAGCAAAGACTCATGGATTTTCCTCAATCTGATTTAAAAACCCTGAAATTTTTTTTCATGCATTTGCACAGCAGTTATAAAATGAGCTTCTTMTATGTTTAAGCCTTTTTTCGAAAACAGCTGAAGATTCTTTTGAAAGACCARTGTTTGGTAAATAGTTTGCTAAATTGTTTAATTGTTTTTACTATTGTCTTTAAAGCATATTTTTCATTTAAATGTTTTTATTTTAATGTGAATCACTTAATTTTCTTTCCTAAAAAGACTATGTGAACAAACTTTATTTACTTTATTTACTTATTAATCTGACCTGATGTAATTACGTATATTCTACAGTTTACCACAAATTGCAAACATAAATGTTTGAGCTGCTATACGACGTCATGAAGTCCCTTTTGCTTGATCTTTCTCTCTCATTTTTTTTTTATTTCCCCCTGGTCCACCCCCCTTGACATCTTGAAAGTGATGAGTCAGCTTTCACCTCACCTTGTCCCTCTCCTTTTTATTTCCACCTCAACAATTTAATATAAAACTGTCAGAGAAGCTTTTCTTTATCACACAAGTCTTTGGGTCCTATAACACAGTTGTCACTTTCTTGGTTTTATCCTTTCTTTCCTTTTTTTTTGTTTTGTATAAACCCATGTCAGAGCATGCATCTCATTAAAAATGATGTAGCTGATGAATATGATCTCTTCCTCTTTAGGTGATGCTGGCAGAGCGTAAAGCGACAGAGGAGCTGTACGCCATAAAGATCCTGAAGAAGGATGTTGTTATCCAGGACGATGATGTAGAGTGCACCATGGTGGAGAAGAGGGTGTTAGCGTTGACTGGAAAGCCCCCGTTCTTAACACAGCTGCACTCCACTTTCCAGACTATGGTGAGCTGACCAGCAGTTTCCCTCAGGGAATTTTATAGTGGGGGCCTATTTTATTTTTATTTTTCACTTCCATCAATAATAATATAATATGTCTGCCAGAATCAGAACTGATAATATAAGATTTTTAATATATTGTTTGCACGATCTCATATAAAAATATTTGAAAACAAACTGCAAAAATACATTTTTGTGTCATTTTTGACCTTTTTTCAGGGATCCAACTAGATTATTTATTTATTTATTTTAGGTTAATGGATAGTTATGTGGATTGTAAACAAGTTCCTTTAAGGGTCCCTACATTTTTAATGTGCACAAAACACAAGTGAGTCCCGCTAAAAGACGGCCGGGTGGGCGCTGTAGTCTTAGCATCTCACAGCTGGAAAACACAGTCTGAATTCATGTTTGATTCATGCTCAACTTGTGATGTGTAATCCGTATTATGCCAAAGATGAGTCAACAGAGGAAGTAAATATAGCTCGCCAGTTTCACGCACGGCCATCAGCGCATGTCGTTTCAGTTCACACGCTGTAAACACTCGGTGATTTGTGACGTTCTGTCAATTAGAGACCAAACATAATGGACCTGATCTGCAACACACACCAACTAGCTCCTGCTCAGCACTAGTTCTCTCACTGAAGGAGAGTTTTGTCCATTAAATGCACCATACACCACACACAGGCTGCAAAACCCGCATTCTCATTTATATAGTGCACACGTGCAATAGGTCAGTGGTTCACCACTATTTTCTGTCATGCCCCTCTAACTTAAAGGGGCTATATCATGTAAAATCAACTTTTTTGAGCTTTATATCATGTTATAATGTTACCCTCTCATAAAAAACATGCCCAGAGTCTTACTTTGACTCATTCATGCATGTTGGAGAAATCCTGTGCTGTCCTGAGGCAGCAGGCAGGGGAGCAAAAACAACCGGTTGGGACTAGAACCGCCTTTTGGGATCAGCTCCTCCTCTAGGCTGTGTCTCCAAGCCGAGCTTCCTCATCACAGAGAATACCCCCCCCCCCCCCCCCCCCCCCCCGTGACTCCTGCAGGCTCTCGGCAGCAACAAAGCTAACTGGTGAAACTGAAAGTGAAACCGAAACTATCTGCTGAGCTCCCAGTACTTCTTCTTAGTGCAACCCTTTTCAAATTCAAAATACCTTTGAGGAAATGTATTTTCAGATGCCAAGTAAACTGAGCTTCCATATCACAGTGCACCCCCACCCCCCGCATGTTGAAAAGGGTGAGACAGAAGCGGAAGGAGGTTCTTAAACAGACAGAGGCCAATTTCAAGATGTTTAGAAACAGATATGAAGAGAAGAAGAGTTTATTTTCTATTTAAACATAAGAAATAGCATTTTAATAACAACTAAAGGTGACATAGTTACTTTATTATTGTATAGAACTCAAACATATGCCTGAGAAACACATAATATTGTCCCTTTAAATTTGTACATACACAAACACACACACACACACGAATTGAAATACTGTTGACAAACCACCGTGTGACTGAGCTATTACTGGTAGGGGAAACATTAATCTATGTAAAAGTATTGTTATCTTTTACCTTTTAAATTTGTTTCTTCTGCTGCATTAAGACATTCATTTCTAATTTAAAACTGATTTAAAATTTATTTTTGTATTGAATAAAAACATTATGTTTTGCTTCAAAACACATGAGGGGTCTTGTTTTCTGTGGTGTTCCAGTGCGGCCAATGAGCTCTTTAAAAAATGTACATATATTTTTTATTTAATTTATTTAATTTACATTGGGTTATATAAACTATCTGTGGTCCTCCTTGTTCAAGGCTAATAAATTAAAAAAAAGGTTGCAAATGATTTTTTTACACCACCCCTCCAGAGGGGTTGACCCCACTATTTGAGAAGCACTGCAATAGTTTATTTAAACTCATACAAAATGCACATGACTGCACTCAAACTGCTGTTTCTGTTACTTATCATGACACTATATTTTGTCCAGAAAGCACTCTCTCTCTCTCTCTCTCTCTCTCTCTCTCTCTCTCTCTCTCTCTCTCTCTCTCTC